TTCAAACTCACTAATTACCTATATGAGAAAAAGATATGAAAGCATGTACAACCTTTTCTCATAATTTTTCATTTTATAAGTCCGGACCCAAAAGGTGTTATCAGGACCGTCATACTAAGCCTACAATGTCTGTCTTGTAGACTTAGTATTAGTTCTGACGGAATGTGACCACCATACATGCCGGATCGCTGATGTGACCAGTATTTGTATACAGGCTACCTAATAGCAGGTGGTTCTAAGGCATAAAAATACATTTCTCGAAGATGCATAATACTATAACATAAGTAACTGACGGGAGACAAAATTTCTCCAGCAACTTAGTTCTGTCTATAAAGTCACTAGATAAGTTTAAACAAGAAAATAAAATTCAATATTGATCACAATATTTCAATTACCTATGTAAAACTGATAAAAATAATATTATAATATATACTTAATTCGCAATCATGAATGAATTGATAATAGCATGCAAAATCACAAATCACAGAGTGTCTACAATAACCAAAATATCAATATTTTTATCAAACTTAATTAAGAAATAAGCTCCTGCATTGCACCTGGCAAAGTGTAAAAACCTAATAAATTCATTTTAACAATATTTGGTTGTCTCATTATTTCCCTGAATTAACACTTAAGGTGACACTAGTCGACAAGACATTCGAACGCTAACAGCCATCTGATCCGATTGTTTCCTTGCGATTTTGAAATTTGAAACTTGAAATTTTAAACTTTAAACTTAAATTTAAATTTAAAAATTCATTAAATTTTAAAAAAAGTTGAGGATACGTTCTAACGTTAGTCTCGTTTTAGAAAAATCATTTAGTTACCCGGTATTCGAAACTGTTAATTCAGTGGAGAATACCGTTAGCTCATCGCGTCGGGTTATTCCAAAAATAGACTCGGGTTTTTTGCAATAATTTAAATTCCTCTTGTGTGCTAGGCGATTGTAGACCGTGTTTCGCTCCACCTAAGGTAGGTTTAAGCCGGCTGCCGTCGAGTCAGGCAGACGTTAGGCACCTTGCGTGGCCCCGCGCCGACGTTATCGTACACAAGGTCGGGCGTCTTTTTAACAGTTTTAAATTCCTTTAAATTCAATTCATTAAATTCTTTAAGCGGGAAAGTGATTAAACGTGATAATAGCCGTTTCTTCACGTTTTTTCGGGTAAGTTATACACACACTAATTACACATACATATTTATTATATTTAAGTAAGGTACGTTGGGGTAATACCGGACGGATTTTCGAATAGTTGGAAGAGTCTGCCAAAAACTTTAATTTCTCGACATTCGTATACGTCAGATTTATGGAACATGGAGCAAACCGTTAATCGTTAAACGTAGTTTAGCTCTGAGAATCTTTTGCTTGTGTAAACTCAACGGTTTCTGCTTTAACCCTTAAAGGGGCACACCATGTTTTACGCGTTGTTTAAACTATAAAATGCGAAATACACTGTCTATTAGGTATGGAAAAGAAAAATAATTTGAAATTTTTCAGTTTTTTTTTAATTTTCATTGTTTTTTCATATGTACCCTAAAAATGACATTGCTCGATTATGCAGTACTATAGGTTCTCAACACCTGTCACATAAAACGGACATTGTCCGTTTAACATAATAAAAATACTCATAGAAAACAATACTTAACGTAACAATAACATAACTTAATCACAGTTTTGAGATCTTTTAATTATTTAGGAACCATTAACCTCAGAATTACATTATAAATGCAAAATAATTAGACATGAAGAGTAACAAAATTAAAACATTATGCTTAAAAAACGAACAAAAAACAAATTATTCGTTCTTCAACAAAATTAAAACATTCTTCTCAAAAAACAAACTAAAACAAATTATTCTTTTTTTAACACAATTATAATATTCTTCTCATAAAACAAACTAAAAACGAATTATTCTTACTTCTTGTGGAATATAAGGTACGTTGGGGTAATACCGGACGGATTTTCGAATAGTTGGAAGAGTCTGCCAAAAACTTTAATTTCTCGACATTCGTATACGTCAGATTTATGGAACCTGATATACTAAAAAGTTCACTCGTGAAACCCATTTATAAAAAAGGTACACAAACGGACCCAGACAACTATCGACCTATTGCCTTACTACCCACAGCTTCCAAAATATTTGAGAAAGCATTATACGATCGTATCTATAAATTCTGTGAAAAATATAATATCTTTAGTGAAAGTCAAAACGGTTTCCGTAAAAACAAATCAACAGTTTTAGCAATTTACAATTACATTCAAAAAATACATGATATAATTAACGATAAAAAATATGCTATAGGAATACTACTAGACATGTCAAAAGCATACGATACAGTGCAATATAACATATTATTAAATAAATTATATGACATAGGAATCAGAGGCCCGTGCTACAATTTGTTAAAATCATATTTGCACAATAGAACGCAAATAGTAGAAATGGAGTATTTCAATGATAAATTACACAAAATTGAAAAAATTAGATCCGATACTAAAACTATTAAAGCCTCAATACCTCAAGGCAGCGTGCTGGGGTGTCTTATGTTTTTAATTTACATTAATGACTTTGCAGAAACCCTGAACGAACACTGTGTCATGTTCGCGGACGATATTTCTATTCTTATATCAAGCCAAAGTCCACTAAATCTAACAGAAAAAATTAACAGCATATTATTCAAAACAACGGACTGGCTAACTAAACATAACCTGCGGATAAACTTATCAAAAACTAAAATAATGTCTTTTCACCCATATCAAAAAGCAAAATTAGATATAAAATTAAATAATGACGGCTTCACTATAGATACTGTTAACGAGCACACACTACTAGGCCTAATAATAGATACCCATATTACTTGGAAACCACACATAGAAAAATTACATAGAAAGTTAAGCAGTTTTATGTACGCATTACGAGAAGTAAAAAAAACAACAGATATAACCACCGCGATAACAACCTACTACGCGTATGCACATGCATGGCTCAGCTACGGCATTGTCCTATGGGGAGGCAGTACTGATGCCCCAAGTCTATTAACTAAACAAAAAAAACTAATACGAATCATAGCTAATATACAAAACACAGAAAGCTGTAAGCCTTACTTCAAGAAGTATAACATTTTAAGCCTGCCCTCTATCTATATTTTGGAACTATGCAAATTTGTCAAAAAAAATCCAAGTTTCTACACAAAACGAGATGACATCATGTCTAGTAATCTAAGACAGAGAAACAAACTAGTGCTGCCAATTTCAAAACTAAAATCTCATTCTTCCAGCCCATTCGCCATGTCTATAAAAATATATAATAAATTACCCGAATATATAAAAAGCATTAAGGACGAAAAACAATTCGTAAAAAAATTAAAGCAACTGCTTATAAATAAGTGTTACTATAATACTTCTGAATTTTTAGATGATAAAAATATAATATAATATGGATATGTAAATAAAAATATGTTAGGTAATAATGAAATGCCATTCTACTAAATAAATTACAATAAAAAATTTAAATAAAATTTAAAATGATTCAAATAATTTAATAAAAATTCAACTATGCTAACTACACCAATTATAATAATACCTTAAATGTCAAAATCAATTCATTAATAAATTATAACAATTAAAATAACCGTATTTAAAATTCATTGTGTGTATGTTTAAATAATAGAATAAATGTTAATATTAAATAATTATTTAAAAATAGCAATAATTATAATAATAAATGTTCCTCCTTCATAATATTGCTGTGCCCATCAGGGCCCATGGAGATACCATAAAACTATGTAACACCTTTTGTAACCTATGGAATGCAATAAAGTTATTGAGTATTGAGTATTGAGTATTGAACCGTTAATCGTTAAACGTAGTTTAGCTCTGAGAATCTTTTGCTTGTGTAAACTCAACGGTTTCTGCTTTAAAGGTGTGCGAAAACTAGACATACTTTTTTATATGCATAATGAAAAATTGGCCATTAAGGGGTAAGATCGGACTTAAATTTAAAACCACTTCTACTGCTTAGAGAAAAAAGTTTATAAAAGAGATTTGTCCTATATTTAACTCTCAAAAACATATTTCAATATGATCTATAAATTACTAGAAACATAAATGTTCCAAACGATTTTCTCTTTTTTTGTTTTTTGCCATCCGATCTTATCCCTGATATAAAGAAATTGTAATTTTATGTTTCTCAAACTTTGTTATGACATAAGATGGAATTACTCAATATAAGAGAAAGATCGGATGCATTTGATTTTATATGGGAAAAAAAAATAACAGTAAGGACTGGCGAAATGCCCTGGGATAATGCAGGAGTTAAGGAAGATATAAATAGTTTAACAAAGCGGCATTTATAATTATAAATTATTTTTTAAATAACTATTATAAATTACATTTTGATTTGTAATAGAGGATAGATATAGATGTCTATGGGCCGCAGTAATCACTTAACATCAGGTGGACTGTGTGCTCCTTTGTCACCCTTATCTTATAAAAAAAATGTATTTTAATGTGTTTTTATTACTTTTAAATATACAGACTTGCTAACGAGACTGAGTCCCATAGTCACTTGAGTAATCAACGAAAAAATATACACGACCAATGAAAGTTTAACAACCACTGCCATATTTGTAACAGGCAAAGATCGGATAATATTCATCCGATCTTCACTCACGAGGGGAAACATCGGATCTCGGCCTACAGCGATCTTACCCCTGCATGGACCAGCTTTATTTAGCTATAACTTCATAAAAATTAGTATCCACACAAAATAATAACAAAAGAAGCCATATTCTCGCTAAAAATCGTAAATAAATGTGATAGGGAAAGATCGGATGGACAAAAATAATACAAAAATTACATTGTTTTATAAAATGCCACGCAGCACAGGTCCCACTTGCCGGAGTGACTGGCGCGAACTGAGGGTCGGGGCAGGATGAAATGGCGTCGTGTAGCATATTGTTAGCTTTTCAAAATATAGCATAATTCGCCGGGAATTTGAATCCTACGGTCTTGCCCCATCACCGATCTTACCCCAACGTACCTTACGAAAACAATTTTTCTTTGATGTACAGCAGAGTCTTTGGTTGCATTTAGAGCATACAACAGTGGTCTTGCCGTGCCTGCACAAACGGCATCGACCCTGTGCAGTGAATTCAATAAAATGATCAAAGCGATCGTAACGAATTTCTTCTATGGGTCGCGGTACGAATGGCTTAGCAATCAGATCAGCTGGTGCATCATCTAATGTAACTCTCTGAGATGCTGTATTATTGCCCTGGATTAGAGCAAGGGCAACCTGCATGCGGAACTTTTTTAGTGGCAGTGATTTCTCTGTAAGTTGCGAACAATCACGATGGTGCAACAACCAGCTATTATTTAGGGCAATATCTAATACCTGGGCAAATATTGAGATATACCAACGCCTAGTCTTCATGTGAATGCGGTATAATGCAGTCAACATGTCCGCAATATCCACTCCACCCATATGAGCATTGTAGACTTTGATGACTTTTGGACAAGGCACAGAAATTCTTTTCTTCTCTCTTTTATCGTATCTTTCTATTGTAGTAACCGGATCTTCTGCACAGAATGAGCTGGCAATATGAATGCATTGATTGTCTACCCATTTAGTTACTGCTATTTTCTTGTCATTGTCACACATTACTTCGTAAGTTCCTCGTCCCTTCTTCTTCATTACCTTGTCACTACTTAAACAACAGTTACGCAATCGGTAAAGTAATTCCAGTGACGTAAACCAATTGTCAAAGTATACTGTACACAGAGTGGGATTAGATATTGTCTTGCACAATCTAATGACTGTCTTACCTCCAACACCAAGGTAATTTTCTTCCCATTCTGTGAACAGTGTATCCTGAAATGTGTTTGAACCATCGTAAGGGAAAAAATCGTAGACCATCCCCGAGGACCCAGCTCGAACCAGAAATTTAAATCCCCATTTGTGTGGTTTTTTGGGATTATACTGTTTCCTGTGACCTGCTTTTTTACCTTTATGGGGTATGATCATCTCATCTATAGCAAATGCTCTTTCCTCCTCTATTTTGAGACATTGCTTACGTACATGCTCTATCACAGGAGACACTTTGTGGTAGCTATCACTGTGGTTGACATTTGTGTTATCGCAAAAATGAAGATAGCGCTTGATACATTTGTATCGTTTTAGGGACATAGCAGTTGCAATGGGCTTAAATCTAAGTTCATTGCTCCAGTAGTTTTTTGACACGCATATAGATTTACCGGTATTCTGTACGGAATACGGGTTAGTCATTTCCACAATGAAAGTTAATAAATCGTCGGTAAACAATTTTTTTAAATATGCCACCGGACGTATCACTTCATGCTGCTCAAGAAAGCTAGTGCCTGAATCCACATCGACGGCACCAGTATATTTCGTTTTCTTGAATGAAAACTCTAGTTGACTCATTTTACGCTTTCTAGAAACAGGTGGACGAATTGGCACTGGTGACGATTCAACATTTGCTGTTTGTCTGTTACTACGCGTCGTTACTCCTGGTGCCAGTGCCGTTCCAATAGGAGTCGAGTATAACGATTCCGGCACGTAGCAGGGTGGTAGATGAGAACGGCGGGTAGTAGCAACGATTGGCGACGATTCTGACGTTAGTGGCTGTCGCGTCCTTACTCCTGGTGCAAGTGGTTCTGGATCAAGGTCATCAGAGTCGCTCAAATCTTGCAGTAGATCATAAAGACCAGCAGAAACTGATCTTGGCGGTGAAGACACTGGTGAGGATCCACTATAGTTATGAGAGAAAAACTCACGCGCTCCTATTATCCTTTCTGCGTCATCGTCAGACTCCAAATCTGAATCATCTGACTCTAAAGGAGGTAAAAGAGTCAGAATTTTCTTTGACCTCCATCCTTTTCCCGCCATATCGCTGAAAAAAATGACATTTATGATATATAATACTGTTTAGAAAAGAATTATTATAGCGTTCCAATATAGGCATTGTCCGTTTTTTGTGACAGATATGTATTACACAACATAAAAGGGTTATCAGGCATTGTCCGTTTTTTGTGACAGATATGAAAAACACAACATAAAAGGGTTATCAGGCAATGTCCGTTTTTTGGGACAAACATTAATATTACTAATTTTAGAGTTTGCGGGCAATGTCCGTTTTTTGTGACACAGGTTTACACGCGAATCAAGTAGAAATCACAAGTACTTTTTACAAAATAACTACTGTTTAATGTTCTTTAACTGTTAATGAAACATATTTAATCGCGACAGTGTCGTAAAATGGAGTAATACTTACATTTTCGATTTTCAAATGTAGAGCACAAAACATCAGGTGGACTATGTGCTCCTTTGTCACCCTTATCCTATAAAAAAAATGTATTTTAATGTGTACTTAAAAGTAATAAAACCATCGTATTGTTTTATTACTTTTAAATATACAGACTTGCTAACGAGACTGAGTCCCATAGTCACTTGAATAATTAACGAAAAAATATACACGACCAATGAAAGTTTAACAATCACTGCCATATTTGTAACAGGCAAAGATCGGATAATATTCATCCGATCTTCACTCAAGAGGGGAAACATCGGATCTCGGCCTACAGCGATCTTACCCTTGCATGGACCAGCTTTATTTAGCTATAACTTCATAAAAATTAGTATCCACACAAAATAATAACAAAAGAAGCCATATTCTCGCTAAAAATCGTAAATAAAAGTGATAGGGAAAGATCGGATGGACAAAAATAATACAAAAATTACATTGTTTTATAAAATGCCACGCAGCACAGGTCCCACTTGCCGGAGTGACTGGCGCGAACTGAGGGTCGGGGCAGGATGAAATGGCGTCGTGTAGCATATTGTTAGCTTTTCAAAATATAGCATAATTCGCCGGGAATTTGAATCCTACGGTCTTGCCCCATCACCGATCTTACCCCAACGTACCTTATATATTTAAATTTTTTTTTTAGTGCCTTCCTCCCCATTTGGGGGGACTTTTAAATTTTTTAGTAATAGTTTTTGGTGCAGAAGCCGTAACGGGACTGGTGTCCGTTACGGGTTTTCGTACAACACCCTGCCATCAGCAGGGTGTCGGGACTTAGAGATACAGTGCTAGTGTATAAGATCGAATGTGCTAATAGGATGTCCAACCTTTTGGACGTCCAAAGCGAAATGCTCCGCTTTTTAGCGGAGCGCTTCCCCGACGTAAACCCGGGTGAGCTTATGCTCACCCCACTCTCGCCGGAACCATCGCCGGCCCGCGAAGACTCCGATATGGAGCACTCCGGCGCAATGACGCCAGTAGAAGAGGGGTCCAAGGTGACCATGCCAGCCCGCCGCACCGGGAGCGACGCGCGCATAGTGGCGAGGCCACCTGCCCCCTCCCCTTCTCCGACCCCTTCTCAGTCTCAATCTCGGGCTTCCTCCCGCGCGCCCTCTAGGGCCGCGAGTGAGGGCTCTTTCGACTCGGCGGCCTCCTCGGGAGAGGACACCGAAGTGGAAAGGCGCCCCGAGGGTGCAGCATCCTCATCCGGTGACGAGGGTTTCACCCTCGTAGAAGGCAGGAAAAGACGACGACCTGCAAAAAAGGCGGACTCCTCCAGGCCGGCGAAGAAAGTCGCCTCGGCCTCCCCCTCCGTTGCATCCCCCACTCAGGGAGGTAAACCCCCTGTTAACAAAGGGGTATCGGCAAAGGCAGATCTGACTACATATCTGACCATATATTTCTAGCTTTATTTTGATATTTAATATGTTAATATTGGAAATAGTTTGGCTAAAAAAGCCTGAGTTCATCCTTTGATATTGAAAAAATGTATTTTAACCTCCATTTTTTTCCTTCTAAGCCATTGATTCATCAATGCTTTGCGCGGTCTCTCGCTATCTTGGAAATTTTTGTGTTATTGGTTATTATTATATTTTCTGACTCAGCTATCACTCTTGGACTGTTTCTGCTATACTCGTTGACCTTGGCTTGCTAGTTCAGGACTTTGATTACGCATTACGTGATTTTGGTGTTATCATGTGAACTAGACAACATGTACAAAAGAGGACGTACTCTTAACAGCCAGTCTCGTGACTTGGTTTTGAAGTTGCACGAGTACTTTGAACGAGTCAGCAAATAGAGGGCCTCTTTTAGAAGTTACCCAAGTACACGAACGAGTCGCACAAGCGCTTGGAATTGGCATAAAAACAATTTGAAATATTACAAAGGAAAAGTACGGGCCCCCTGGCTGAAGATAATGAATTGCACACACTACACACAGGGCTACAAAATCATGGTGTGGATGCCGAATTAAATTTATTGAAAGCAGAACTGTTCAAATTAGTTATTTTGGCCTCACAGGTTTATTTTGTTTGTTAGTCAAACAAAAGAAACCTGTGAGGCCAAAATACGCCATCGATGAGTTTGCACAGGAACATGGGCATAAAATTATAAGGACCCCACCATACCATCGTCAATACAATGCTATAGAGATGATTTGGGCTCAAGTTCAAGGTTAGTATTTAAATATTTTAATCTAAATGGAACGATTGCATACGTTTTATAAATATATATTTTATATACGTTTATAAAAAAATAATCCAGGAACATTATAATATTAGTAGATATATTTCGCCTAATAGAGCGGCTGACTGCTGTCCTATTTTTATAGTTAATTGAATGGCATATTTATTAGAACCTATCCTGCCGTTTGACTGCACGAGAGAATAAAGAATGTAGTTATTATAACTTTAAATCTTTTACAGGCTATGGTGCACGTCAAAATACAAAACCTTCATTCACCACAAAAAAAAAAACCGCTTGGTTTTCTTAAAGAAGCATGTTCACATGTCACAAAAGATGATTGAATCAATTTAGTAGAAAGGACAAAGAAAATTATAACGGAAAACTTTAGAAGAGACGTACATTTTGACAATTTGATTGAAAGTGAATTTATTATAAGGTTAATCGATGAAGACAGTTCAACTGATGATAATTTTTCTGCAGCTTCCAGAGACGAAAATGAATAAAAATGTTACGAATTCAGTGAATTTATTTATTTAACTGACCCAACCACACTTATTTAATGTTTATTTTATTCTTGACTAGCGACCCGCCTCGGCTTCGTGCGAGTGCATATCAGTGGCGTGCCTGCATAATATACAATGTATATTATGCAGGCACGCCACTGATATACGTAAACCTTCCGGAAGAAATCAGTATGTCGGGTTTTAGTTTATGTCTTGGCTTTGAAACTAGCCCAAATTTAAACTTAGTTTGGATTTATGTAATAACTGTTAAATATTACACACTCGATCATGTATTAAAACGATATGCCCTGAAAATCAATTTTAAACTATGTACATACATTGTCCATTACAAACTTTAAATAATAGATATATCTCGAGAATCGGTTTTTAAAGCAACCAATTTTTTCCCATCAATACACAAAGTATTTTTATAGCTGTCAAATCGGGATTCTTAGATTGTCACGAGTATAATATAAACCTCATGGTCAAAAATAAATAAGTTTAGTAACACCAATATTTTTTTTAAATGTAGTTAATATATGCAATAACATATAACAATAATTTGCTTAATAACACATGATTTCCTTTTTACAATTTCCTTTACACCTATCATTAGAATTATTACTGATAATGCTTGATTTTTTTGTGGCGGCCACACTATCTTGATTGATTTACGTAAAGCAGCTAAAAATGCAAGATTACGGAGCCGCTATAAATAAAAAAGTATTAAGTGTTTCATAAATCAATGACTAGATGGCGGTAGTTTAACCATCAGTGAAATTTCTTCGAAGATACAATAGCATGCGTGCATCTCACTGAATAATGTTTCCCCCGGTGTGGTGCGGGAGAACGACGTTTACACACACATGCACGGGCGGTGACGCACGCTTATTCAAGTTTTATTCGAAACGAAAACTTTTGCCATTTTGTAATTTGGACGCCAAAGACAAGACAGCATGGAAATTGATATAATTGAAAGAGATGATGCGTTTTGGACGACAGACAATATTTTAAAATTTTCGTCTGTAATATAATATAATTATAAAAGTAAAGTCTATATACGATTACTATATAAAATTGCAACAATTTCATTGGTGCTGACGGGGATCGAACCAGGGTTGCTCGCGTAATGTGATACTTACGGCGAACGCTAACCATCCGAGTTACCACGGCTCTCAATGCAAGTGTTATAAATAAATAAAAAATTACAAAATAGTTTAATTATTTATTAGACGACTCTTGCGGCGGACAAACAAGGTATATTATGTGGGATTTTCATAGGTACCTACTGTTATTACCTAGATACCTACAACCTACAATACAACAAAATGTCACAAAACGTCACCGCGTCGTGGCCACAAAATTGTAAACTTTAGGTAGGTACGTCAGTACTAAGTAAACAAGCTTGATGGGTCACTTGTCTTGATAAAAACCTGTGTTTACGTTTAGTGATATTGAGTATATTTAAAAAAGTAAAAAGACAGGTAAGTATTTTTGACAACAATTTATAGGGAGGCAGAACTAATTACAATTATTATCTAAATATTATAAATGCGAAAGTTTGGATATTTTGATGGACGGATGAATGGATGTATGTTACTCAATCACGCCAGAACCGCTGAAGGGACCTGGATGATATTTTGCTCAGAGATAGGTTATAGTCTGGAATTTTATTATTTGTTTATTTAAAAAAAAAAAACGTTACCCCCACACTAGGATTTTCTCCTGCATCGTGGAGGCAGTTTACAAACATCCAGACCCGGAACAACTATTTGTAGGCCATACAAATACTTGTTCCGTGCGGGATTCGAATCCGCGGCTCCCAGTGCAACAATTCATTACTAAGCAACTGCGCCACGGAGCTGTCAAATAACATATATGATACCGTTTATTCAGGTATTTTGTTCCCGTGGGATAATTTTTGCAGTTACACACGTTCGAAGCCGAACTCTTGAGTGATCGCTGCATGACCACTCGGGAAAAACTAAACATAATAAAGTAAGCAATCTATATTAGGTATATAGAGCCACAGAGGCACAGTATAAATATGAACAGTATGGAAACTAAGCCTAGTTGAGGATATAATTACCTACGCTCCATTAAAGCAATAGGGTTGTAACTTTTAATGTTTTGATATTGCTTTTTTTATATTTTTGTTCTGTAGTGATCAACCAATCGAATTTAAATAACTAGCTTATAAATACAATTTAAATAGGTAATCTCAGCAAAAAACTATAGTTTAAACACGGAAAACAATTTAATATTACATATAACAATAATTAACACACAACAACTTGTAGAATTTTGTCATTACGGCGTAACCTTTTACAAGTTTCGGCGGGAACGTACGCGAGCCGCAGTTGGACGAAAACGTACCTTTATTTTTCAATAGTTGTTCCCTGCGACTTCGCTCGCATGTTAGGATTTTTATTTTTTAGCGCGGAACCCTAATTCTTTTTCAACATACTTAAAAACTATGAAAATGACACCCATGACGAAAAAATTGATACCTATTGCAGCCGCCATCTTGGATTTACATTTTAACAGCACTATCGGCTTCAACACTCGAAAACCATGAAAATGACACTCATGTCGAAAAAATTGATTCCTATTGCAGCCGCCATCTTGGATTTATATTTCAACAGCACTATCAGCTTCAGCACTCTCGAAAACCATGAAAATGACACTCATGTTTTTTATTAGTGATCAATGCACCCATGACGAAAAAATTGATACCTATTGCAGCCGCCATCTTAGATTTACATTTCAACCAGCACTACGGCTTCAACATACTCAAAAACTATGAAAATGGCACCCATGACGAAAAAAATGATACCTATTGCAGCCGCCATCTTGGATTTATATTTCAACAGCACTATCAGCTTCAGCACTCTCGAAAACCATGAAAATGACACTCATGTTTTTTATTAGTGATCAATGCACCCATGACGAAAAAATTGATACCTATTGCAGCCGCCATCTTAGATTTACATTTCAACCAGCACTACGGCTTCAACATACTCAAAAACTATGAAAATGGCACCCATGACGAAAAAAATGATACCTATTGCAGCCGCCATCTTGGATTTACTTTTTGTTACCACTATTGCCCTATTAGCTTTAAATAGCCTCAAAACCGCCGCATTCTGGATGTACAAATAAGTTCACGAATTCATTATGATCGATCACACGGACTTATAATTGGATAACGATTATAACAATGACAATAAAAATCATTCTTACCTTTCAAAATCAGCAGGAAGCTTAAAATAAGTAAGCTCCGGTTTTGATGAAGCCGAGTTCAACCGTATACTACGCAATACGTTCGTGGCATTTTTAAAGTCTTGAGGCGACACTCGCTACTGAGAGCACCGCGACGCGACGAGCGCTTAGAAGTCTCGTCGTTGCGCATGTTTGTGTGAGTGTGCCGTTTCGAGCATTTGTAGGAAGTTTCCGTACTGTTCCTACTATATATTTACTGTGACAGAGGTATAATATGAAGTGATAAAGCAGCGCCTAATAATTTCGGGGTTTCACCCGCGTCATCACGTGTCCAAGATGCGTGGCATGACATGACACCTAGTTCAGGCATTTTATAATTGCAATCAAATATTTTATTTGATAATAATGTATGGAAAAATTGTCATAATTAATGGAGTACTTTTATTTTATCTGTCGGCATATTATGCGCGGTTTTATCCAGTTTTAAAGAAAAACGTACACGATACATGAAAAGTGTGTAGGCAAGAAATGATTCTTGATAAATTTGCTATCAACCTCTTATACTTATTAATCAATTAAACTTTCAAAATACCATAGCAACGTGAAATGAAAGAGTTCAGAAATAAAGATGTACCTAATCATTGTTACGCTCACCTGGGAGATAGATACAAGCACTCAGTTAATTTTGAATTTATTTTAGCTACCAGCTGTTCCCCACCACTTCGTCCGCATTTAGTTTAGGGTGTTAATTTTGTTGCACGGACACCTAATAAGTTTTCTAAAATTTAAGCAGTCTAAGTTACTTCTTATAACATGAGCTATCTACTAGTGAAAGTCCCGTCAAAATCGGTCCAGCCGTTTTGGAAATTAACCGGAACAAACAGACTGACAGAGATACAAAAATGTTAAAAATTGTGTTAATGTTATAAGTAGCGTATATAATTTCATATGCAATTATACATTGCAAAGTAAAAAGCTGTTATTTTGTCATTACAAACAGACACTTCAATTTTATTTATTTGTGTAGATATAGATAATGATTGAACTAACGGCTAACCTAACCTCGCTCATAAGAAGCTTTCAATACTGGCTTCTCAATTCGCACCGGGCTAGGGGTTATGCGTTGTTTGCGCGTCAAGCCAAGTATTGAATTATTTTAATTTTACATTATCTCTTAAACTATGTACTATATAAACATGATATAAAGAACGAAGTTTATCTTCAAAAAAATTGTCTTGATAATGAAGTAACTTTCGTTTGTAAGGATAAATATGCCATGCCTAATAATTAAATTTTAATTTTTTTGTCACAAAATGCCTAATTGTGGCTTATATATAAAAAATAGACATATGGTATCGCGGACTTTTTTTTTAGACGGAGTAAAGATCTATATTTTCTGCTTTATTATATTAGTATAGATGTTGCATCGTGTTCATGTAACTTCGTTTTTGTTCAAACGGTTCTGAATGCCGTACGAACAAGACGTGCGTGAATACTAGTGTCGATATGCTCATCACTGATACTATCTCTGTCGGGCACGATGCCAGGTGAGACAGCGTGCTTTTTGGCCGCGCCCACCAGCGAGTTCGAGCCCGCGACTTGTGCCACCTTAAAATGTCTCTCTGTATTATATGCTAGTAGTATCAGCATAAAAAGAATAATTTTTATTCAAAATTACAAAACTTATTAAAGGACACTAGATTACAAAACTTATAGAAAATCACACATGGTTATATTACTGGTTAGGAAAAAAATCTCTGTCCTAAGTAGAACCAGCAAGAAGCCCAACTGGTCATTTAAAAAAAAATGTTATTTTCAATGTTTTACAATTAAATATAAAAACATATTTACTGTAATCACCCCATTCCCAGGGGTTAATCAATCATATATTTTAATGTAATAAAATAGCTTTGCAATGAGTTGCAGCGGTAAGGGCCGCGGGTTCGAATCCCGCACGGAACAAGTATTTGTATAGCCTACAAATAATTGTTCTGGGTCTGGATGTTTGTCCTTGTGAAATCTATGTATGTAAACTAACCATGCGATACAGGAGTAAATCCTAGTGTGGAAGTAACATTTTATTTAAAAAAATGTAACAATTTTGATAATATACTTTGTAATAACAGTAGAGATCATCAAGATCATACCGTGGGTGTCATGAGAGGATCCAGAGGTAAACTGAAACAGGAGATGAGCATATGCATCTTCCTGATAACAACTAAAAAAAACTGCAGGCAAACCAAGTAACAAGTCAAGTGTGGCAACCATGGCAAATATTCCACTATGGGGATATAGGAGAGGCCTATGTTCAGCAGTAGACTTTGATAGGCTGTACTGATAATAATTTAATCCCTTGAATAACCAAAAGTAAATCATCTATGCAACATTATATTCATTTTTCGCCTGAGTGCAGCAGCTGAAGCTTCTTCGGCAAATAAACGGTTTTTAACAATGCAAAACCTTTTTAAACATATAATTAATACACTGTTAGTTAAATTACTAAAATTTTGTTCTGAATGAATCGTGCATTCTTTGGCAAACTCAAAATTTATAGACTTTCTAATATTTTCAGCTAAATTTTTTTTCAAAGAACTCATGTGTTCGTTTTCTCTTAAATATGAATTTATTAAGGAAGCACAATAATCCACATAATTTATCATTTCTTTAGTCACATAGTACAAGCTTCTGTTAAAATCACTGTACTCTCGGCACTCTACAAACAAGTGACATTTGTCAACAGTGTTGGATACAAAAATTTTTCTACATTTTTTGCATTTATTTACTGGCAATTGCTTAAGCAGAAATCCACACACATATGCACAGGCCTGAACTTCTGCATTGCCCTTGTCAATATTTTGTTCTATGACATGAACATTAGGCAGTTCACTTATTGCATGAAATTCAGGCTCTGCATGCATGAGTGTGGATTGTGGGAGTGATAACAATTTACTTAAATTATTAATAATTACATTATTGTCTCTTTCGCAATTACTGCCAATGGTCCCTATATGTGCCAAACTACTTAAAATTGAAGTTTTAAGTCCAGCCGCAAATTGCCCTGTCGTAGGGTTTGTATTTGACCCACAGTTACCACGAATGCAACCAAACAAATTTTCAATAGGGTCTTGTTGCAATCGCCTTGTGACTAGACTCTTAATATTATGAGCTTTTGACATATTTGTAAATAGTCGCTCTACACCATTTATTGTCCAGATCCACCCATCTAGTGATGGAGGTTGTCGTGAACACCCGACAAACTTCATAGTTTGGAAAAATAATTTCATATCAGAAAAACAACTCATGTGAGGACTTTTCAGCGTCATATTCGTCGCATGAATTTTTCCTCTACGCAGGTCAGCTGTGTCACTATTTAGACAGTCAAATAATTTGTCCATATTTGATACAACATTTGCTGTAACGGCAGCTTCTGCAGTAAGCGCTCCTGAAAATGAAAAAAAATCTTGCAAGTTAATTTCGTGTCTGATACCTTATAATTACAATAAAATGTTAAACACAAGCTTGTTATATTTTATTGCAAAAAGCATTTAATTTATATTAGGATATTATTTAGTTAATTATTATATTTAATTTATTTATTAATTTATATTATATATTATTTGGGATATTTATTATAGTTGCTACGCTTAGCTGGCTGGTTTCCAACTGCAGTTTTATATTATTTTGGGGTGTTATTAGGGAAATGCTCCTGTTTTATTTCCATCTGTTGCCTCATATGACTTCCACGGGATGATATTTCTTGTTATCTATTTCTATTATAATGAAAAATATATGTTGTCAATTCATACCATTTGCTATTTTTACATAAATTCCTGCTGCCACTGTATGGCTCAAAACTTGTGCAGCAAGTTTTACTCGCATCTTCTGTTTAGGGTTAGGATTAAGATGTTCTTTTGTAAGGGCAGGAGCAAAGACAAAATTAGGATTTTTATCCACATCAAAAAATTCTTTGATGTGTGACCATTTGGCAACACCTGTAAGAAAACAAAATGCAGGTTAGAATGCAAAAGGAGCTCTATAGAATAATAAGTACCACGGATAATATTCCTAATCAGAGTTTAATTATATTACTTCAACAGGTATTTTTTTCTCATGACAGCGTATGATTTATTAAAATACCACCTATCATTAATGTATGATTCATAGAGCATTCAGTACCCAGATGGATGATTCATAGAACTATTTCAATCATTATTATATCATGGCTTTATATGTATAAAATATGTAATTATTTCTTATAATTTAATTTAGTTGACTAAATTTTTTATGTAAAATTCTGCAACAAGCTTTGTCAAATAATTTATTTAAAATGCAGAATTAGCCTTCAAATTACCTGTTCCAACCTCAGTACCAGATGAAATATTTGTTCTGCACTGTATGTCATATTTCATAAATAAATTTCGAAAACACTTTAACAGATGTGGTGTATCAAAAAGTGTCACTATTTCTTTGTTGTGCAATGTAAAATAGGGTTGTTGCACATTTGCACCCAAAATAGAGAGAGCTCGCCGATTTACTCCATCCATGTCACAAACTGTCGCAGATATATTTATCCCAGCCTGAAAGCACTGATTTAAGACCTGAAATTAAAAATCAAATATGGTTTACCACTGTTGAGATTGTTTAGTCAACTTTTTTAGATATTTAAATAAAATGAAACATATCATATAAAGTACTAAAAACTACCTCTTTTATTAGTACAGCAAGTCTATCTGCAGTTGAAAATGCACTGGAGAAATAGTGGGCAATGGGCTGCTTCACTGTCTTCCTAATACCCACAATCATAAACACTAATGCATATGATGCAATGGCTGGAGATCTTCCTTGAGTACCATGATCCTGATAACCTTCAATAATATCTTCTTTTGGGTTGTACATTACATGTTTTTTTAATGACATTTCATCAAATATCAGTGTAAATTGATTTTCTGATGGTTTTATTGTTTTCATGAAATCTGCCAGCACCTTAAAAACTGGTTGATTGATTCCAACAGCAAAAGGTACTCTGTTGAGCAAAGCCTTCAGTGTACCAGGTGATGGCAATTGGAAAAGCCTTTTTAGTAGCCTGTAACAGGTGGGTGACCTTTTATAAATTCTCAAGGCTATAATTTTTTCCTCTTTAGTCCATCTGTGTCCTGTAGCTTTTTTTTTAAATTTCTTAATTGATCTTGTAATAACAAATAAATGTAGGTGTTATTTTCTCTGACAATTTTCTTACAGCATTGTTATCACTTAAAACATTTAATTTGATCTTAGATTTAAAGTTTTTAATGCGATTACGCAATCGGCATACTTTCCTCATGTAATTTTTACATTTTTCATAAAGGCATCTTTCTTTTTCAGGCTCTATATTATTTGATATTCTTTGAGATTTTTGTGGCTGTTCTCTGGATATATCTCTTAATGTTGTGTTTTTTGAAGATCCTGCTTGTGCTTGAGCTGCAATAATTTGCGAGGGACCAGCTTGTGATTCCACAAAATAAGATGGGAATACAAGAGACACTTTGTCAGTCTGAAAATAAATACTGAAATTAATTACAGTATAATAAACATATAGGTATTGTGAAAAATTAAGTTAAGATTTTGTGCATTGACATTTCTTTTATAGTATATGTAACCAGCCTCCAGCTAAGTGTGCACCGAATATGATGCCTGAATTCAGCTACAGTGCCACAATTCAAAGGGGGATTCGCATATATCTTGACGAGATATGCTGAAAAGAATAAAATTTTTCTATATCTTGCTTAGTTTCCGAGATATTGATACTCCCTCCACGCCTACAAATTTACAACAACACTCTAGGGGTGGGGCAGACAAGACTAAGTGGAGTCAGGACGTGCTCATTCTGACTGAGTTTTAGCATTTGATTTTTGAGTATCAATATCTCAGAAAATAAACAATATTAAAAAACTTTGGTACGACTTTCCATTGACGTCAGTGGAGTTTGGTGTTGATACATATTTTTACAGAAAGATTACACTATTATAAGCACACACACAAAGTCTCAATATACGGAAACGCGTAATTTTTGAGAAAAGAATAATTGAAAATCAATTATTCTGGCAATGTTTATGTCTAATCTGCTAATAAACTGGCGCCATTTTGTAATATCATTGTCGACGTCAATAGGGATGTCGATTCTTTCCGAAAAAGGTCGATTTTTAAATCGATTCAAATCGTAAGCTGATGTATCGGTTCACAAAAAATAGATTTCTAATATATCGATATTTTTTTCATGTTTGCATTTATAATGTAAATATAAATCCATTTTATGAGAAAAAAATCCCCTTCATCATAAAAAAATAAGGGGACTGATTCATAAGGATTTCTGTATCTATTTTGAGACTGCTACGTCTCCGGCGCTGCGGGAAGAGCAACCTCTACGCCTTAGCGTAACAAATCGCAGGCATCCCTCCTCGCCTCCTCGCCTCGGTCGTCCGATGCCTACGATTTGTTACAGCAAGCGGAGGCTGCTCCCCCTACGCGCCTCCGGCTCTATAAAACCACTCTAGGGGTAGGACAGACTCGTACCAGGTGGAGTTGGGGTCAATCAATTCGGCTCTTTGACATAAGTTGAACCTGTACTGTTAAATAAAACAAATTTCAATAAGAGATCATTTATCATGGTATCTTTCTTGTTTTTCATAAAATGGGTTTATATTTACATTATAAATAGAAACATTAAAAAAATATAGATATTTTAGAAATCGATTTTTTGTGAACCGATACATGAGCTTACGATTTGAATCGATTTAAAAATCGACCTTTTACGGAAAGAATCGACATCCCTATTGACGTCGACAATGACATTACAAAATGGCGCCAGTTTATTAGCAGATTAGACATAAACATTGCAAGAATAATTGATTTTCAATTATTCTTTTCTCAAAAATTACGCGTTTCCGTATATTGAGACTTTGTGTGTGTGCTTATAATAGTGTAATCTTTCTGTAAAAATACGTATCAACACCAAACTCCACTGACGTCAATGGAAAGCTAAGCCAAAACTTTTATTCTTACTTTTCAGGTACCATAGAAGGCCCCTGCGCTTACTTTATGGACTTGAAAGTTGTGAATGCCTTATCACCACATAATCTATTTAATTTTACTTACATCACATGGGACTGCAGTCCTTAACAGCGTTTTCTTGGAAGAATCAGTGAAATCACCATCAATAAAATGTTTTTCACACAGCATTCTGTGCTCATTATGTAGCTTTGCCTGGAAAGCTAAAGTATACTGTTCTTTGGCAGGAAACAAATATTTCGCCCATAATGTACAGCTAAAACCAAAAAATATTTTTATTAAATACGAATATTATCAAAGTAGTTGCAGTAGTTCACTAACCAATAATCTGTTTCTTTTTTTATGGAATTGGGTGACAAACGAGCACACAGTCCACCTGATGGTAAGTGGTTGCTGTGGCCCATAGACATCTGCATCTATCTTCGTTTGCGAATTATAATGCAGATGCGTTGTCAGCCGTGAGGACTAAGATAGAATGTCTCTTTTCCAGTAAAAAGGGTCTTATTTCTTTTCTTAGTTCTTATTAAAGGGTCTCAGCGTTTATAGACGGTTATGAGAAATAAGCTGTCATTATAAGTTGGATAAAGAGTTAACACTTTAACCTCTCAGACCTTGACATTTTATTGGACATATTTAGTTAGAACTATGGTCAAGCCAAAGAGTATAGTAGGTCAGGCCAGACGATTTTTTAAAAAAATGGTAAAAATAACTTAGAGTCATTACTATGTTCATATCCGAAAATAAAAAATTATCAACAATTAAAATATCGAATTATTTATATGAAGGTCAAGTGAGCGCTAGAGTGACGACGATTGCAATATATAAATGAAATGTTTCGAGAAATTATCAATTACTGTGTAGTGGCGGTGTATGAATATTCATACTATTCCGTGGGTTTCGTAAGAGGCGACTGATCCACTGTTCAATACAACAAGGTACGTGTACCGTGGAACAGAACGTGGCAACTATGACAAGTATACCCTCTATGAGGAATATAGTGGAGGCCTATGTTCATTGGGGGGTTTTATAGGATGTAACGGTCCATCACCAGCAGTGGAATGAAACTGTAAGGAGAGGGAGGGATTAATTTTATTATTTAAAAAAATATTTTTGTGTTTTTTTTTTTTTTATAGAAGAGGGGGCAAACGAGCATGCGGCTCACCTGATGGTAAGTGACTACCGCCGCCCATGAACAACCGCAACACCAGGGGAATTGCAGATGCGTTGCCGGCCGTTTAGAAAGGTGTAAGCTCTTTTCTTGAAGGTCCCTAAGTCGTATCGGTCCGGAAAATCCGCCGGTGGTAAACAATTATGTGTAAAAAAGTCATCAAACAGCATCAAACAATTTATTAAACAAAAGTTGCGTAAACAAGTTCAATGGTTAAAACAATATTAAATAACAAAACCAAACAATTCTACTGAAAAGAAAAAAAAGTAAATATTATTTCACTTTTACAACTAAGGCAAATCTAACGAATCGCTATATTATGTTAAAATTCAATATATATACATATATATATATATATATATATATATATATATATATATATATATATATATATATAATGTTAAAATCGAATAAATATTATGAAGAAAGAAACAAGGACATAGAAACACTTGATTTTCATAAAGAAAAGAAATATATAATATAATTATATCGATAAACTCAATAGAAGCCTCAAAAAAAATTAAATCACAGGTATATACTTGTACATCCGTAAGATAGCGTAATAAAGTATATACTTTATTACGCTATCTTTGAGCAACGCCATTTTTCTAACGACTTCAAACAGGAGAAGGAAGTCGACTATGTTTTCTTTTTCTAGTTTGTAGTTTCTAGTCTAAATTTCTAGTTGCCTCTTACACTCACGCGGCGAAGGATATAAGACTAAAGTATGTGACGTAAACGCGACGCGAGGCGGAAACTCGTCATTTGAAGTAAATTCTGTTAATTTAAAGAAGCGTAATTTAATAACGAAACTAATTCTAATAAAATTTTAGTTTTATAGTTCATCTAAATAACATTTAAAAAATAATTGTTATGAGCACAATAACTATGGTTCTGACTAAACGTAGTGATCATATACTCTTTGGTTCTGAGGGGTCCTTTCTAAATATTACCATACTCTTTGGAGCGTTCTACAAAGTTGACCTTGGATTGCCTCATGTGTACTTCAAAGGCTTGACAGATTAAAGTTTAGAACTTGAAGTGAATAAAAACGTACCGCAAAATGTTCTTTACTGCAGGTTTCGGAAATCTAAATAATTTAATGTTGTCTACAGCCGGTGAGCTGCCGCACTTAAAACACTTCCTTCTGTTTTCTTTATCCGCCATTGTACAGCACGGTTTTTAGAGTCACTTTCTCGTATTTCACTGCGGATCACTGTCTAACACTTTGCAAAACACAAAACGAGAAAATAAATTTCAACTCGACGTCCTAAGCTAGCAAAATCTTAGAAAAGGAGATACAAAAGAATCAAAAACTACAACCAACCATGAACGACAATAATGCAACGGCGCCAGGGGGAGGAAAGTTGGTACCAGGGGGAGGAAAGTTGGTAGTAAAAATTTGAAGTCTAAAATGTATGGAAACAGACTCCCTCTTACGACGTTTCGCGAAAAAAGTTTGGCGCCATGTTTAATAAAATGTCAACAGGTACTCTATTATCAACATCGCCATTTTCTATTAGCGCAATTATGCATCACTTTCACGAGAATTAGTTTGTTAACCTAATAATTTTCTTTGTTCTTATTAATATTTTTGTTACATTGCATTCATTACTGTCATATCGTTCTTACGATGTCACGAAAAAAGATTTGTGTTCTTGGATGCGACGAATAAGGTAAGAAATGTTTAAAAACCTATCACTAAAACATATTGATAATTCAATGGATGCGGTCCTTTTTAAAACGATCAAAACAAATTGTGGAAAGGTTACTTGGAATTACAATTTCACACTGTTATACTAATAGAATATATTTATTTTCAGGTGCATATATACATAGGTTCCCTCATCCCATAAAGTGGGCCGACATGTTCCATATTTGGATGTCGAAAGTTGGAAATAGATTAGAATAGAACCAATGAAAATTTTCACTACTAAAATGATATGTGTTTACCACTGAATCAAATTACATAAGTACAGGTCATCGTTTAATCATAACAGCTGGTGAGTTTTAAATTAAAACAATATAATTAACATGTATATGTTTAAATGGTAGAATTAGATACTGTATATAGTTGTCACATTTATTGAATGTGTATGTGGGAGGAAAAATTATTTAAACTGTTTTTTTTATAATCTCTGTAATTTGGAATTGAGTATGTACTTGGGGTGGCCACTTAAATCATATTATATCTTATACAATATAATAAGTGTACAGAATGTTCTTAAGGATTTATAAACTTTATAACTGCTTTACTAACTACTAACCTACCATTAGGTAAACTGTATGCTCATTTGCCCCCTTTTCGCCTTAAAAAACCTGCAAGCTTACTCTTGTAAACAATTCTGATTGATCGGAATTGAAATTATAACATTTCATACTCTTGATAGCGACTCTAGCGCTAAATTAGTTTTGTGGTGATTGAGTGAACTAATTGAGATTAGAATTGAATTTATCCCAACCGATTGTAAGCAAAATCGGTACTCTTGACACAGTTTTGACAGTTACTTGACAGCTGCGTATTGTGTTTGTATTGAGTTGGAATTGAAATTTAGGCAATAGCAAAACAGTAACTTTATGAAGTGTTCATGTTAATTGTTTGTTTTCTGCAATTGTCTTATTCATTGCGATAAAATAATGGCATGTTTAGCTTTTGTGTTTAATATTCTACGCCGTAATTGTGCATTACAATTAAAATAAAGACGAAATGAGCTTAGATAATGCAATTTAAAGGCTTAGTCTTTTCTATCAGTGATGATGAGTTTAGGGCTAATTATTGTATTATTAAGGACTTATATATTAAGCCATGAATAAAAATCTAAATATGCAACCTCCGAGGAGAAGAATCTTCTCAGAAGACATGTTACGAATGAAGTACTGTTAATCAATATTAGTCTAAAAAAATTAATTTACAGCCTTTATAAGTCCCACTGCTGGGCAGAGGTCTATTCTCATTTCTGAGAGGTTTATTGGTGGATTTCACATGTAGAAAATATGAATATAATGTTAAGTTACATTAAATGTATAATTTTATAAGTATTAAAAATAAAATGATATAGGTAATGTAATTTTCATAAGGATTTATTAATAAAACTATGGTACAATGTTTAACCATTTATTTAATAAAGAAATATTTTAATTAATCTATTATCATTAGTATGTATCTGTTCTTAAATTTATTAATTAAATTTTTTATATAACAGTGAAAACTATATTTATAATAAACCAAAAATTAGTTTATTTTACAACAGAAATTAAAAGAAAACAAATCAATTTAAAATAACATGGAAACATTGATAAAATTTGATGTCTTATTTATTTTAAATTACAGTAATGTTATTGTTGTTGTATTGTTTGGAAAAATTAAAATAGCAATATTAATAACTGAAATTGACATTGGATCGAAATTGTTATTGGATCCAAGAGTAAGCATGCTGATGGTTATCAGATAGACAATTTTTATATATATGATTTATTACAGCCTATACTGCCGTGGTAACCGAGAGAGCAGTATTGTCAGTTATTTCTTTTTTCAACCTTAGAAGTATATTTTTAGAGAAGTTTTCTATTTTTAAGAATTGTTATGGCAAATAATAAGAACCAATATGTGATTTTTTATCTCACTGATAAAGTTTTATAAATAAAACATGTAAGTTAACTACATTTTTCGTTTTTTCTCCACTATTTAATGCATAATGCTCATCATGTTCTAACAAAAATATAAAAATGCTACTTTTAAAAGCAATAACATCCTTTACTGTGCAATGAAATTATTAAAAAAATTAAAATCTTAGTGAAAGGGCAGTATTGTACTAACTACTGTTTTATGTAGCTATTTAAGTGTATTACCATTTTCTCAAAACCCCCTTTCCTGACTTACTGCCCCGTCTGCACCACATGACCAGCCTTCAACATCACAGACAAATGTTAATAAAGTTATAGTATATAAGAATACAATACCATAGAATCATTTTTAACATATACATTACATGTAATTCTTATTGAAAGTAATTTTTTACTATTATTACTACTGGTTCCAAAAAATAACTTTGTCCTGGAGGAACCAGCAAGAAACCCTGTGGGCCTTTTTTTTGTAGTATTGTATACAATTAGTATGAAAACAGAAACAGCATGGTAGTGATCACCCCATTGCCAGGGGTTATTTATCAATTATGTACACTTTAGTAGCATAATAAATCTTTAGTAAACAATTTTTGCTTAATAAAAATTTTAAACTTTTTGATAGTGCCTGCATATTTTCTGGGGCTTAAGTGTATACATTGCCCCATGATGGAATTACTGGCTCTTTGGACTCTAGTAACTTGTATAACTAACTTGTGCTTGTTTCTAGTATTTACAGAATGTACATCACTATTTTTACATAAAACTACGTTTGTTCTTTTGTACATACATTACATTTTTAAATTTTATTTTATAATTACAATTTTTTTTTGTATAAGGTTTTTGGCGGCTCCGTGGCGCAGTGGCTTAGCAATAAGTCACAATGCTAAGGGCCGTGGGTTCGAATCCCGCACGGAGCAAGTATTTGTATGGCCTACAAATAATTGTCCCAGGTCTGGATGTTTGTCGTTGTGAAAATTATGTATGTAAACTGACCCCACGATACTGGAGAAAATCCTAGTGTGGAGGTAACATTTAAAAAAAAAACTCAAACTATCAAATATTTAATTCCTTATATTTTAGTATCAAACAATATGTTCTAACAATTTGCTTAGTAGGGAAGCAAATATAGTCTAGTATATGAATATCCTATACTAAAATATATAATTTTACAACATTTATTGCAAATGTCTACATTGTAAATTCCACTTTGAAAAAGCTAATGTATAAATTAAACATTTTCAGATAAACTGACGAAATCGGATACTACCCTAAGAATTAGAAGTTGTTACAAAAGCATGCGAGAAAACTTAAATTTCAATTAAAGAAGTCTAGAAAAACTATAAAAGATTTTAGGACTCGTCTATCAAATGCAGAATAAATGAGTAATCAAGTAGCATTTGAGAAGGTCACCAAAAAGATGACATTTGCAGCGAAGGTTTTGTTATAGCTGTTTAGAATAATTTATTGTAAGAAATATTATTTTTGTACTTTGTTTTGTTATAGCCGTTAAGAATCGTATCTCATAAAAAATATTTTGATAGTTTGTATTGTGAAAGCTGTTAAGAATAACTTATTATAGAAATATTGGTTTCATAATTTGTATTGTCTAAGCTGTTAAGAATCATTTATTGTTAAAATATTAGTTTCATACTTTGTATTGCGAATGCTGTGTTATATGAATCGTTTATTGTAAAAATGTTAGTTTGTGTGTGGCGCAGTAAGAATATCCACCAGTCCATATCATCCCGTGGGTGCCTTAAGAGGCGACATAGGGAAACAAATCAGAAGATGGACAGCAGTTTCTTCCTAATAACAACTAAATTTAAAAGCTGCGGTTGGCAAGCCGCTTGCCAAGCATTTGAACTATGGTAAATATCTCTTCTATGAGGCGATTGTCGAAGCTGTGTTCTGATGAATCACTTATTTAATTATACAAATATTATTTCATATTTTCTATTGTCAAAGCTGTTATGAATAACAAGGGGCCAAGCCCTCTTTTTATTTTTCGCCAGTTATTTTGTTGTGGACTACGGTCTAGTCACAACTTCTAGTTCCTTTTCGGGCGGAACGCGTTGGTTGGTTGGGGCTAACCGCATACGGCGTTGGCGTCTGTGAAGCCCTGTGCCACTCCCACATTTTTTTAAAATGTGAATGAGCAAAGTCCTTGTATCTGGTATTTTAATATAAATATTGTAGGCCTTTTCCAAGCGGGAAGGTATTAATTAATAATGAATAACGGCCTATATCTAAACCTTTAGAAAGATCAATATATTGATTATCTGATCACGTATATTATTCATTTTAATATAGTTATATTTTATAGATGGCCATTTTATATATACAATAGAGGGGGCAGGGTTATTATAAAAATATTTCTTATTTTGTACTATCAAAGTTGTGTTTATGAATCATTTATTGTAAAAAATGTTATTTTCATATTTTGTCTTGTGAAAATTTATCGTTAGAGACATTAGTTGTCTTTTTTATAGGAGAGGGGGCAAAGGAGCATGCGGCTCACCTGATGGTAAGTGACTACCGCCGCC